TTTTTTTTTTTTTTTTTTTTTTTTTGTACCAGGGATGGAAATTGAGTCCTTGGCAGGTGGCGGCACCACTGAGCTAAATCCCTGGCCCTGTGGGAATCTTATATTCTTTACCTTATGCAAGCTAAAGATTAGCATGAATTCTCGTGGATTGAACAGGCCCAACGTTCCGTGCGTAATACGACGTCATCTCCCAGATGACGTGGTTCCTTACTCAGTTCATACAATGTCTTCATTCAGCAGTGGTGTAGTTTGGGTGCTTTTGCTTACGCACATACATCCACTTAAGAAGATCAAGGCATTATTTCTGCATTAGCTTTTCACAACAAAACGGAGAAAGAAGAATGAAAAACACTTGAAGGAATGGACACCATAGCTATGATTATTATTATTATTATTTTTGAGTTTTAAAAATAAAAAAATAGCAACAAGATAGTGAAGGAGGATGAAGCTGGAAATCTATAAAAAAATAACTACTGAAGTGGAAGTAGATGAATCCTGTCATAAGGACCACTGGGATAAAGCAGTGGGAGGCAAGATTTAGTTCCCTGTAAGAAAGAAGTCTCCCAAGTCAGAGTTTGAGGATTCCAAAGGTGTCCTGGAAACAAGTGAGTTCTCCACAGAGCAGGGCCTGAGTGCGGTGTGAGGTCTCTACTGGTTAAGACTATTGGAAGTCATTAATGGCTTTTAAAAAATTAATTCATGGGGGGAAAAAACCTCATTCCAGTTTTAGCCGATATTTCAGTAAGAGCTTTTTGCTGTACTCCAAATATGTAAACATAATAGGATGCTAAATTTGAAGTTTTCAAACTGGGCATGGTACATGCTTGAAATCCCAGTACTCTGGGAGGCTGATGCAGGAGTATCACAAGTCCCAACCCAGCCTGAGCAACTTAGCTACTTAGTGAGCCCATGTCTCAAAATAAAAATGTAAAAGGGGGGCTGGGATATAGCTTAATGTGAAGGCCTGGGTTCAACCCCTAGAATCACTAAAAAAAAAAGCTGAAACTTCACTCAAGAAATCCCAGATGGGAGCTTTTTCACACTGAAGTCAGGTTAAAACAAGAGAGTTCATAAAAAGCATAGTAACAGATGAGTTCCACAACTCTTGAGCACTCAGCCAGGTCCAGGTAACTAAAATGGCTAAGGAAGAAAGGATCTTGCAGGAAGAGATTCTGATGTGCCCAAGATGTGTGTGTTTGGAGTAGGTGGAGCATGGGGGCCCTGTCCCTTCACCTCAGCCTACGCAGAAGAATTTCAAAGTGTCTTCATAGGGAACTCAATAGGAGATGTCTGCATAAGGACAGGGCAGGTCAGAGTGCCCTGGGATCTGACACCTCCTCAAGTGATCCGGAAGGACAGAGACAGGCTAACAAACTGTTTTGGAAAAGAACCAGGAAATGTGCTGCTGAGTGTTCTACCTGGATCAGGCCAGGCCAGCAGCAACGGAGAGCTGAGTGAAGTCATCTCAGAGCCTCTCTGAGGGCGCAAAGTAGGCAGCTTGAACACAGAGTGAGTCTCGATTTGCCCCCTGGGATAGAGACAAATGGATAGGAATCAAAGGCTCAGCAAGATGACCCTAGTGATGAGATCTTCGAACATCCCATGACAGCATTCCTCTCTGGGACTGCCTGGCCCCAGACTAAAAAGCCAGAAGTGGGGATTACCAAATCAAGTTAAACCACTCATTTTAACTCTTCATCGTCCTTGCTTTGCTGCCCTGCAGGGCAGAGTTAGCAAGCTGATTGAGTAAGGGAGAGGAAAGAGGAAAAGAGCCAAACTCCACTCCTCCTGGAAGGCAGGTGGTCCTTCTGAAGGAGGCCCAGCCCAGAAGGACAGGAGCTTTCACTTTAAATTAAAATTGGAGCTTGTCAGTACAGGAGGTAGAATCTTGTATTTCAAAATAAGGACTAGTGTGGGTAACCTAAGGTAACTACAGAACTATACCTAAAGTTAAGCAGAATGTCCCAGGACTTGCTAAGTTTTCCTCCAGTGGCAGTGGAAAAGCTTCTTTCATTACATAAAATTTAAAGAAGGAGAAAGAAACAAGCAATTTGATGGTAGATCCTACGTATAGCAAATTAGCATATCAAATATCACTCAGTGCTGTCATATTAAAAATTTAATTCCTTTGATAATACTATAGGCCAAGCGCTTTGAGACTGAGACAGACAGAGGAAATAGCCCCACGGAACAAGTCATAACAGTTGCTTTGGGGAAAAATATGTTAAAATAGCCCCACGGAACAAGTCATAACAGTTGCTTTGGGGAAAAATATGTTAAAATTAGGGGTTTGAGTACAAGCAGAGACTAGATGCCTGCAATATTTTCCACACACACAGAAACAACTATGTACCTCAGGGATTATTTATTTATAGCACAGTTGAATCTCCAACCTAAGATAATTTATAATTTTGCACTCTATTGTTAGCACCTGAAGGAACATGTCTGGCTGGCTGGGAAAATTGTAGAAGAGCAATAATTGTTTAGTTAATTGAGCTAAATGTTCTTCTTTCCTCACAACTAAGAGTTTTTATTTGTCATATGTGTACTGTACATGAGATTTTTGTTTTGAACTTGTTTTTAATTTCTCTTCAAAAAGCCTTGACTTACGCTTTTAATATTATACCTCAAAGTTTTACTTTTCCCTATATTATGATTTAGCTTGAGAAAAAAAAAAAAAGACCTCTGATCTCTCTGGTACTAGGGAACCACTCAACAGTGTTTTGAAATTTCTAATTTCTAAGTTCCAGTTCTCCTGAAGATTTTCAAAGTAAGAAGTTTAGAAAAAAATTTTTCTCTTTTCCATCCAATATTTTGGAAGCCTCCCCAACTGTTGCATATGCGATCACATAATACTGAATGCTTCTAAGTGCATTCATAACTATTGTTTTCCAATTATTAGCTAGTGATATAAGTGACATATATATGTTTGGGGCCTCTCCTATATTTCTGTGGAGTCCTGCATCTCCACAATTACCAATTGACATCCCCTCAACTATCATTTTAGAGGTCTAACTGAAGAAGGCCCTTGATATGCTACACATGACCTATATTACAAGAAACGTTTCTCTTCATCACACCCAAACTTAATATGTCTCACAGTTTAGAAAATTCCTTATTTTTTTCCATGTCAAGATAGGTAAAATGTGTCTTTTCTAAGCTGGCCTTGCATTGTATGCTTCTTGAAAGTAGTGTGGTTTGTTTTGTTTTGTTTATCTTTGTAGCTTTAGCTCATAGAAGAGTTCCCAGGAATATTAGGGGTTCATTAAAATATTTATTTAATAAGTTTAAGAAGCCAATACTTAAGTAATGTGAAATATAAATTAAGCCTTAAAGGTAAGTAAAAGTTATACACCTTCCTCGACAACTGTATAGAAAAGAGGATTTATGACTAGTTTCTGATAAAAATAGAGAGATTAATGAAAACAAGTTTTTGCTAGGATTCTACCATTATAGGAAAGTTCTAATAATTAAAAAGAAAGAACCATAATCCATTATATTGACCCCTTCATTATTTATATGTAAATAAAAACGAACCATCTATCTTTGTATGCCTCATGAAAATAAAATGAAAATTAAATCTGAGCTCTTCTGCCCAAATCAAAGTGTTGCTATTATTCACTTTACAGTTAAGAATTTGATTAAGAAAGAAAGCTGTTGAAACTGTTTTTGAAATTTGAACACACATGGTCTTTGACGCATGGTCTTTTGTTCAGGAAACACAATGTGTTGATACTTTCAAAGTTGACTCATTTCCCCAGGTATCCTTTTGCTCTTTTTTTTTGTCAGGAATTGTCCTTCAAACAGGGATGTATGAGAAGATAATGCAGATAGTCATTAGGGCTGCTGGGAAGGCAAGAGAGGTACAAGGACAGATTATGAGAGCACTCAATAGATGGTGCTGCTGTGGATCTGCCAAGCAGAACGTTTAGTATACAAAGAGGAATGTTGTAGACAGTCAGATCTCAAAGAAATAAGAGTACGATATACATAAAAGGAAGCGAAAAGCAAATGAAATAGCAGCATGACTCCTCAGAGACAGGGGCAATACATGGCACTTAGGAAATAAACACTCATGTGACTTTCCTCACATAAGATAGATTTTTGAAAGGATAAAGACCAGTCATTCCATCATTTCCGTAACACTAACTACTTCCAAGGAGCTCTTATTTGGTTTTGCTACTTCAACAGACCAAAAGGAGATAATAGATTAAAGGTCACTTGGGAAAAGTAAAAGGTCTGGTAGTTTGTCCCTGTTTCTGGAATTATCAATATGTTTTGTTTGCTTTGTATCAGGAAAAGAGCCCTGGAGTGAGAGTGCGCTGTGAATGTAGATGTGAATATCATATGGAGGGTAACTGGAAGGTGGTTCTCTGTGGTAACAGGGTCCCTACCATGCGGATTATGCCTGGGAAAGATGGCAGCAACTGGAACTATGGGATTAGAGAAGGAGAGCAACAAGGAGGGCCAAAGAGGGATGTGAGTTAATCAGGAGATTGGAGCTAAGAATATAAGAAGCTGAGATAGCCTGTTTGGCATTAGGACTAAGCATCATGAGGCTTTGATATTTGTAGTGCTTGGTAATGTTAACATGAAAACTTTGGAACAGTAATCAGTAAAAACTGAAATTAATGAGATATATTAATATTTTCACTGTTTTTAGGAGAGTTGGCGCTCCCTGTCTCTTCCGGGAAAACCGGTCCCACCCATCATTTCTACAACATCTCCTTGGGCATACCAGCCTGCTTATAATTACTTCAGCAAACCAGCAGATGGGCTGGAGAAAGTAAACAGGAGACCCACACCTTGGGAAGCAGCAGCAAAGTCTCCTCTTGGCCTTGTGGATGATGCCTTCAGACCCAGAAATATCCAAGAGTCCATTGTGGCAAATGTGGTCTCGGCAGCTCGGAGGAAGGTGCTTCGGGGACCCCCAGGAGACTGGGATGAGAAACTGTCCTATGCTCCTCAAACACAGAAGGCCAATATGGATTCATTTGAAAGGCAAGAGTATCATGTTACTTCCGTAGCCAATAATAGCATGCCTACCAACTTTCGGTATGGTTCACAGTTGCCATATGCGTATCATAGGCAGGTTTCTAGGAATGATTCTGAAATAATGTCCTTGGAGACTAGGTCTGATTACTGCCTTCCGGCAGCTGATTGCAACTATAACCCACACCCCAGGGGTTGGAGACACCAAATATGAGAGAACTAACTGTATGACAACTATGATTTTTTTTAATGTTCCTTTGTAGATGTTTCTACTTTTCTAATAGATCTAGATTCACTTTTGGTCTTGGCTGGTTCTCATGGGTCATTTACCTGGGTCTGTGCGTGTATTTATGCACATGCACACACAAGTGTGAACCATTTCCTTGTCTGCAGATGTATAGAGTATTTCTTGGAAGAAAAACTCATTTTCGGCATTGATGATCTGATATCTGTGTAATTCAAAATTTTAATTCCATTTATAAAGGATGGCCTATGAAACTAATCTCTTCTTAGTTAAACTATTTGCCTTATTCCAGGAATAAATTAATAAAAAATGTGTGTTAATTAACATTAGCTCTAATAGCAAGGAATTTAACATTAGGACATTTTTAATAAGAACATGCCAATAAGTAATGGTTATATCAAAAAGTAGTTCCTTGCTGTTATTTTAAGTATTTTTCTGAAATGGTTTTAAGACTAACAAAATTCAGATTTTTTTAAAAAGAACTGAACTACAAAAGTTCTCAGAAAGAAAGATAGAAAAGTAAAATTATTATACATTTCAGATGGATTTTTGCAGTAAATGGTGTAATATGTGAGAAATAGAAAGATTTAGGTGTGAGGTTTATTTTTAATGTAATTAAAGCCAGCAGCCTGAGATAGGAATAGACTCTGGGTTCAGCTGTCATCATTTGTCAGATGAAAAGATTGGATTATCTAATCTCTTAGAGCCTTAACAACTCTGATATTATGAGATTTTTCTCATTAATAGAAAGGGCTTTGATGCATTATTCATTTTGATTGCTCATCATATAAATATCAGATTGAGTTTAGGGGTAGATTAGATAATTAATGTCAATATTATGCATCATTAAAGGTAGCAGAAGGAATTTCTGTGCAACAGGTTTTAGGTTACGTGTTTGTGGAGTGAGGACTGATGTGAAGAAAAAAAAACTATTGATGGATTTAAGGAAGTGGTAGATGAATATGCCTGTTATTATGCAACTATAAGTCATGACTATGTCTTTGGTTCCAGAAAACGTGCCACAGAAGCCTATGCTTCTTTAGAAACTTGCCATTAGGCTGTTCAAAGGAAGTCAGACAGCTGCTTTATCTATCCCATGACCCAGGCTTGTTAGCATGACCATGAACCATCACCTCAAACACCTGCTCCTTACTGTCACACCCACAAAGTGTTACATACAAGGAAACCTGAGGTAGTGCACATCATAAGCAAGTATCTAGAATATTTTGAAATTTAGAACATCTTGAGTATTCAAAACTTCCTTAGCTTTTTAGATGCGATAACTTTACTTTGTTTTACTTTTTAAATTCTTGAACTTAATGATTGTCTCTTAGGATGATGGTCACTTTCACAGAATAAAACTTTTTGAAACAATTACTAGTGTAGAAATGATCCTTTACCTTGGAAATGAGAAAATAAGTTGAGGAAATCACACACAGCAAATTGAATCAGTGGTAAAACTGGCCAGATACTACTTTGTTCAGTTATGCAGAAAATAGAAGATGAATAATTTTGAAAATTTTATTATTAAGTTATCTTAAATTGATATAGTAATAATTCTTTCAAAGTATAATTACTGGCTCCCAAGAGTTTTTATAGAATATTAAAATATAACGTCTGATTTAGATGTATGGATTAGTTTGTCAGCAAATTTTCAAGACTCCCTCACATAAAATCCTTACTAAATTTAAAATTATTATAGCGGCTGAATCATTCTGGATTTGAATGTTTTAAGAGAAGAGGAATCTAGCAGAAAAAAACTTTACTTGTTGTGACCATAGTCTATTTTGTTGCTCTCTAAGTACTAGGTTTTATTTACACTCATTGATACACACTATATTTTTTACTGAAATACTACACTCAAGAGAAGCAAATTTTTTTTTCAAATTTAGGTATTATAGTCTTTCCCCCTTTGCTTGCACTATACCAGAATTATCATTGGTATCGAGCTCTCTGAATTTATTCTAAACAGAGAAAAAGATAATAGATGGGAGGGAAGTTGTACGTGTTCCCTTAAAGAGACATGGATAGCCCATGCTTTCATCAGAAATCAGTCCTCTGAGAAGTCCTCCTTGAGCAGGGCATGGTGGCACACACCTGTGAGCCCAGCTACTCAGACAGGCAGAGGCAGGAGGATTGAAAGTTGGAGCCCAGCCTGGGCCACCTAGTAAGACCCTGTCTCAAAATTTATAAGAGAATGAAAATAAAAAGGCTGGGGATATCGCTCAGTGTAGAGAGCCCACTAGCTTCGATCCCCAGAGCCACCACCAAAACCAAAACAAGATAAAACAAAACAAAGCAGCCCTACTTTGCAGATAGTTGTTCTGAAAGCGTAAGTGTCATTCTCAAGTCATCACACAGTACAATGTGCATATTTTTCTCCAATTTACTGGAAAATGATAAAGTTATTATTAGGTCACATTTGACCTAATGGTTGAGACAGGACTCTTGCCACATTGAGATTCGATACTTACGGGTGAGAAGATTTAGATAACTATTGTTCTTAGAAAAATAAATGACTTGGTCCCTTCTTGAAATTGTTCGTGCTTGCATGGGAGAGATGGTGTTTTGTAAATACATACCACATATTTTTGTAAGACATCTTTGAACATTCACAGGATGGCAATCACATAGGTGGAAATTGTTTTTCACTATGTGTTAAAAAAAAACCTCTAGAAGTAGAGTGTACTTTGACACTCTCACAGAGACACTAATTTGGCATTTTTCCTTCATTTTGAGTTTAAATATCATATCATTACATGTGTGGAAAGTGTCTGTTTTTAAAATGAATTAAAATTTGCCTTGTATTTTGAGTTTTATAGATGCACAGATTCTAGTCCATTCATCTTTGAATGTATTTCTTACATTTTGGCACCCTCACATACAGAAGGAGTTACTTTATTAAGGCTTAATAATATATATGTACCATATAAATGTACGTAATGACTTAAAACTTTGGATAAAAATGGCATCAAATAGACTTAGCTATAATAGGAATTACAGGGATGTTTGTTTTTTAAGAAACAGTAGATTTCCACACTTAATTCTATTCACACTAGAATTAACTACACTGTTCACACTTTTCTATTAAAACAAACATGTTCTCTTGCTAATGAGACTGACATTTGTACCTCTTTTTATCCCAAAAGACTGTATTTGAAAGATTGTGCTGAAAACTATATTAGTAATAAATGTAACTTGGAAATCAGGCTGAGGGTTTCATTTTTCCTTATGAAATTGTTTATTCAAAAGACTTTTTCCTGTTACATATTCTTAAATTTCATTTTCCATAGTAGCTGCCAGATATATCAAATGAATTTCATACTGCAAGGCAGGTTTTAAACTGTTTGTTAAAAGAAAATAATGATTCCACGATACTGTTGTTGAAGCATATTGTTATCCCGTGGGGACTGTGCAGGACCATCCAGATAGGTCTGAGGACCATTGCTGTGGGTCATGCAGTCGGGGAGGAAGATTGGGTCCAACTCCAAATACAGCGTGGACAAGTGAGAATTCATAGCAAGGAGCAGGGTGAGGCTAAGTGGATGGAAAAAGCACATGGCACAGGGCAGTAAAGGGAGATGCTAGCAAAATCAAGCCAACAGGATTCCTGCTAAGCACAGGCCGGGGTGACCCGATGAAACACGAAGTACCTGGTAAGATATCAAGGATGGGTACCTCTGCCAAAGTGACTGAGCAGGGATATTTGCTAAAACTATATTTTGTAAGAAAATGCACAATCATTCTATCAGAATATGCAGAAGCCTGATTAAAGTTTGGCCGAGCAAAGACTCTTTATCACTGAAACATTTAAAGGCTTCTTTTAAAACTGCCCTGGAAATATAATTAATTTCACACGTAAGTCAAGACATTTGGGATGCAAATGTATTTGGACATTATTCTTGACTAAACCTTTCCTTAGTGGTGTATCAGAAATCAACCCCAGCACAAGCACATGACTTGACAGCCTGCTGGTGGGTTGCTAAGGCCACCCTGGGCTCATTCTCCCAGCTGAGGCTGTCTTCGGTTCCCAGCACTTGCAGTTTTTTGTCCCGTTTGGGCTGGCTCAAGGCTGACCTCTGAATAACAGAAGCCTTCCTTTTAAGTAAAATTATTTAAAAAATGACTTGGGCTCTTTCTACAGAATATTAAAACCATCAAGTGGAATGTGAGCGTCTCATAGTCAATTGACGTCATATAGCACAGCTTTTCAACACATTTTTCTTGGTAAATTCTAAGTAAAATGGCTATTTTTGGTAATCTGATAAAAAAGGATTTTTAAAGGGCCAGAGTTTGAAAACACACATCAAGAATAAATAACGTTTTAAAAAGTTAAATGACTTAATACAGTGCTAGGGCTGGAGGTGTGACTCAATGATAGAGCACCTGCCTAGCATGCTGGAGGCCCTCAGTGGGATTCCTAGCATTGCAAAAAACAAGGCAAATGAAACAAAATATGAGAGAGAGGGTAGAGGGAGGAGGGAGGAGGGAGAGAGAGAGAAAGAGAGAGAGAGAAAGTGTTGAGACTGTTTTAGGATGTTAATGCTATGTAAAAAGTTTCTTTAAGAAATTCCTGGTACTTTGTAAACTATAAATTTCAAAACATACGAAGAGGTAAGTAGTGTCACCTCCACATGGAACCAACAAGTAGCTAAAAGGAAAATGCAGTTCCCTGCCCAATCTCCCATGAAGACAGCAGCAGAATCACCCTTAAACAAGCCAGTGTGTCCTTATTCCATTAGTACAAAATGCTTCCTTCTCAGCCTTCCTGGAAAATCACGAAATCTGCGACTTCTCCCATGTAATAAGGCAATACTTTCACGAAGGGTATTTCATTATTTTTAACCTTATAAAACATGACCATTTATATTTCTATAAGATCTGGAAATCCCTACCCCCTTGAGGCAATTTTGTGAAGGTCATTTAAAGAGCAAATGTCTCCAATATGTCTTGCTCTGATATATTTTTTTTCTCCCTCTGCAGCTGTAGCAAAGATTTGCTGTATTGCACCTCTCTTCTACTGTCAGCATTCTTCATAAACTTTCCTCCACCCTTACCCACTTGCCCCCAAAAGGAGGAAAAAGCCTTACTCATCCCCACAGTACATCGCAATTTATATTTCTTACCTATATGTTGGAAAAGCTTTATAAAGCAGATCACCTCACCCTGATGATTTGAGTAACTGTGAGGTTGGCCTTATAGTACCAAGAAATTATAATAGATTTATGTAGGCAAAGGCAT